ATATCAACAATTTCAATAAACATACTCATCCTTACATAACTGATACACTGGTAATTATTCCCCTTCCCCATTCCACCAAGAACACTTAGGATAAAGGTAGTATATGGTTGGTATAATTTCCCCTTGGTTCAGTAATATGAATATATTTAATACTATTTGTATGGTTAGAAAAGTTACTATATAATTAGAAAAGGAAAATGGATGTGGGGACTTATGCCTGTAATCCTGGAATTCAGAAGGCCGAGGCAGGATTGCTCATGTTCAAGGTCAGTCTATGGAGGGTTACAAGTGTGAGAGCCTATCTAAAAACAGTAAAACAAGACAAATCCTTCAAACCACACCAAACAAAAAAGGGACAGAAGGTATACCAATATTTTCTTATAACTTCTGTTTTCAGAGTTTTCTATATTTATTTCTTAATCTACATGGATTGACCTCTATCTTTGTATATAGTTTATGATATACATATCACATTTTGTCATCCTGCAGGAATTAGTATCTTTTCTAACAGTTTTTTTTTGTGTGTTTTTTGAGACAGGATTTTTCTGTGTAGTCCTGACTGTCCATGAATGCAACGATCTGCCTGCCTCTGCCTTCCTGAGTGCTGGGATTAAAGGCATGTGCTACCACCACCCAGCTTTTTTTATATATGAAGTATTTTAAAATTTCCTTTATTGTTGGGCGATGGTGGTGCATGCCTTTAGTCCCAGCACTCAGGAGACAGAGGCAAGTGGATCTCTGTGACTTCGAGGCCAGCCTGGTCTACAGAGCAAGTTCCAGGAAGTCTCACAAAACAATGCAGAGAAACCCTGTCTCAAAAAAAATCATTTATGTATTTTAAAATGATTTATTTTTTATTTTACGTACATTGGTGTTTTGCTTGCATGTATTTCTGTGTGAGGATGTCAGATCCCTTGTAACTGGAATAAACAAGACAGGTGTGAGCTGCCATGTGGGTGCTGGGAATTGAACCCACGTCCTCTGAAAGAGCAGTCAGTGCTCATAACTGCTGAGCCATCTCTCCATCCCTGTGTGTCTTTATTTATATGTGTATGTGTTCCTGCGTGAGTTCATGAGTAGCACAGGTGTGCAGGTGTCTGTAGAGACCAGAAAAGGGTCTCAGATCCCCTAAACTGGAGTTGTGGGTGTAGTGAGCTACCTGATGTGGGTCTCCCTCAAGTGCAGTGAGTGCTCTTACCCCTAAGTGGTCTCTCAAGGCCCAGTTCTTTTTCTCCCTCCCTCCTGCTCTCTCTCCATGTATGTACCTCTGTGTGGTGGAGTTTGGGGTTTTTGTTTTTGGTTTTTTTTTTTTTTTTTTTTTGCTTCTATGTATTTTTTTTCCCATTTTCCATTCCAACCACAGTTCTCCCTCCTACTTCTATGTATTTTAATATTAAACAAATAGTATTTGTGACATTAAAAAACACTGGAGGTGGGGCTGGAGAGATGGCTCAGTGATGGCAGTGATTCAGAGCAGCTTTGGCTGTTCTTCCAGGGGACAGAAATTTGATTCCCAGAAGTCACCTGGTGGCTCACAATTGTCTGGAACTCCAGTTCTAGGGTGACCTGACACCCTCTTATGGCCTTCATGGTGTACAGACATTCTCCATTCAGGCAAATGCCACATACATAAAGTAAAACAAAAAAAATTTTTAATGGGAAGAATTCCATTAAAAACAACAGAGAGGTAGCTGGGCGGTGGTGACGCATGCCTTTAATCCCAGCACTCGGGAGGCAGAGGCAGGCGGATCTCTGTGAGTTCGAGGCCGGGCTGGACCGACAGCCTCCAAAACAATACAGAGAAACCCTGTCTCGTAAAACAAACAAACAAACAAAAGTCCCCTCTCTGGGCATTGGTGGCGCACGCCTTTAATCCTAGCACTAGGGAAGAAGAGGCAGGCAGATCTCTTCGAGTTCGAGGCCAGCCTGGTCTACAGAGCGAGTTCCAGGACAGCTTCCAAAACAATACACAGAAACCCTGACACGAAAAACCAAAAACAAAAAAAACAAACAAAAAAAAAAGTCACCTCATTTTGCCAGGAACACCAGCTTACCTAGCCGGGCTCTTGTCCTGGGTCCTTGCATTTGACTTCTAAGTTCAGGCCTCAGGTGAAATTTCTTTGCTTCATCAACTAGATCTCTGCACTGTAAACTACAGCGGATGAAAGGCTAAAATATAAAAGATTGGAGTGAACCACACAGGCGACTTCTAATACTGTAAGAACAAAATGACACATAAAGAAGTATTTACTGATATAGACACAAGTATGGAATGACTAGTAAGAATTTTTTAAAAGATTTATTTTTTTATTTTATACACATTGTTCTGCATGCATGTACATCTGTATGACAAAAGAGGACACCAAATCTCATTACAGATGGTTTTTGGGAATTGATTGTTGGGAATTGAACTCAGGTTCTCTGGAAGAGCAGCCAGTGCTTTTAACCTCTGAATTGTCTCTCTAGCTTGATTAGTAAAACTTTTAAGGGAAGCTGAGCATGGCTGGCTTCACATCTGTAATCCTAGCTCTTGGCAGGCTAAGACAAAAGGATTTCTGAGATTTCAAGCCCAATTTAGAGCAACATACTGAATTCTAGGTCAGCTTGATCCAGATAAGAGTGAGACACTGTATCAAAAAGACATGCTTTCTCTCTTTTGGAAAAATGTGTCTTCTCTGACATAATTTCCCTAAAGGCCTCTTTCTTTCCCTACCTTCTCCCTTCCTCCTTCCCCCCTTTCTTTCTGACAGGGTCCTTGTAGGTCAGGGTGGTCTCAAACTTACAACACAGCCTAGAAAACTTAAACACCTGATGCTCCTGCCTTCGCCTCCTGAGTGCTGTGATTACAGGCATGCATTCATCATTAGCCCAGCTCCCACATCTATATGCAACAGTGCTCTATATGAACTGGAGGGATGGCTCACTTTGGTCAATTCCTCACCATGAAAGCATGATAGCATGAGTTCCATCACCAGAACTCACATAAAAAGCCAGACATGGTACCCATCCTACACTAGCAGAGAGACAGGCAGATCTCTGGGCTTGTTGCCAGCTCAAGCATAAACTCCAGGTCAACCAATAAGAGACCACACCTTAAAAACCAAGGCAGATGGCTGAGGACCAGCACCCAAGATTGACCTCCTGCCCACGTGTGCATACACATACACCCACATGGAAAAGAAAACTCTTATTAGCATCTGCTTCCACAGATTCTCCATTTGCTCTCTGATTCAGAAGACTGGTTCATACAAACTGTCAGTAACGTCTCCACACTGGCTTCTAGCTGGGATGAGTCCCATCGAAGGTCAAGGCTTCTCTCAAAGCACTGATTCTACCTGCTCTTTCCCTTCTGGTCCTAATAACCACTTCTCCACCCAGGCTATTCAGACTGAGAGCTGTTAACACACTGTCTTCTACTGTTTCTCCAAATTTATACCTTTTAAACAGTTCCTTTATATAATAAGCCTTCCTCAGAACTGTACCACTTGGAGCACACCATCTGTTTCCTGTTAGGATCTCTAACTCATATAAGTTCTTGTTTATTAGCTTGACTCCAAGATATTTTCGGTAAGGCATTGGAAGAGAAAATAAACAATAGTAGTGAATTGTCTTACAAGACATGACTCTAAAAGCTTTTGCATATGAATCTTGGCAACAGTGTATGAGGTGGGTAATGTCAGTTCCACTTCACAGAAAAACCTGAGGTCATCTCACTCAAGGCCACACAGGACACTTGATTTAGGATTGCAGCCTCCTGATCCAGGTTTCAGGATCTATGTACCAAATCACAATGTAAAGACCTAGATAGAAGGGTGTGACGGTTCCCTCCACCATCAACCTGACTGGTTTAGGAAACAGGCCAATGGGTGCGTCCAGGAGGGTGTTCCCACAAAGGGTGAACTGAAGAGTAAGATCTACCCTTAATGTGGGCAACACCGTCTCACGGGCTGGTCCCCATCCTAACCAAAGGGAGAAGTTCAGCTGAGTGCCAGCATTCCTTCCTCTACTTCCTGACTGTGTGCCAAGGGACCCACTGCTTCAAGTTCTTCCTGCTGCCTTCTGCAGGATGAACCCTGTCTTTTCACTGTGACCCAGTGTGTAACTTCCCGTCTCCCTTAAGTTGCTTGGTCAGGTATTTTGTCACAGCAAGAGGAAAACCAACCAATAGATGTTTTAAGAAAGAAACCACAGCCGGGCGTGGTGGCGCACGCTTTTAATCCCAGAACTCGGAAGGCAGAGGCAGGCGGATCTTTGTGAGTTCGAGGCCAGGCTGGATCGACAGCCTCGAAAACAATACAGAGAAACCCTGTCTCGTAAAAACCAAAAAAAAAAAAAAAAAAAAAAAAAAAAAAAAAACCACAAATAGCAGAAAATGAATTTGAGATGTGACACTACCTACCCTGAATTTTTTTTAATTAGGGGGAGGTCCTTATTTTTTAATTGTTTGAGATAGGGTCTCATTTAGCCTAGGCTGGCCTTGAACTATTGATTCTACTGCCTCCCTCTACAAACAGTTGAGATTACAGGTCTTCACCACAAGAGACCTAGAAAAACATTTTTTTCTTTTTTTCTGAGGAAGAATTTATCTGTGCAGGTTTGGAGCCTGTCCTGGAACTCCTTCTGTAGACCAGGCTGGCCTTGACCTCACAGACATCCACCTGCCTCTACCTCCCGAGTGCTGGGATTAAAGGCGTGCGCCACTATAGCTAGGCAAAGACCTAGCAAATTTTGTAAAGTGAACAATTAGAAAACTATTTTTATGGTTAATTTTCAAGAAGTCCTAGTCAAGAAGTAACTCAGTTATAGGCCTTACCTATATGCTGTAAATCAGTGCTTGCCAAAATACAGTTGTGTCAATTTGATAAAAGCTACAATCACCTGGTAAGAGAGAACCTCACCTGAGGACAAGTGTGTGGGCATTTCTGATTAGTGAGTGACGTGGGAGGCACCACTTCTGCACAGGTGCTGGTCCTGGGTTATATCAGAAAGCAAGCTGAGTAAGCTAATGGAAGCAAGCCAGTAAGCAGTGCTCCTTCATGGTCTCGGCTTCAGCTCCTGCCCCCAGGTTCCTGGCCTGGGTTCCCTTAACAATGGACTATATCATGCAAGCCAAGTAAGTCTGGCCTCCCCAAGCTGCTTGTGGTCATAGTGTTTATCACAGAAACAGAAAAGCAAACTAGGGCAACAGTCCAGATAACACAGATGGTACACACACACACACACACACTTCTTTCTCTCTCTCTCTCTCTCTCTCTCTCTCTCTCTCTCTCTCTCTCTCTCTCTCTCTCTCTCTCTCTCTCTCTCTCTCTCTCTGTCTCTCTCTCCCCCCCATGTTCAGAGGAGTAGCAGGTGGCAACTGAATTCAGGGGAAAGGGCCACCAAGAAGCAAAGCTCTGATGGGTCACTGTCAGATAGGGAAGGCTCTGAGGGCTTCAGCCCCAGGATTATCTTGCTACTGCTGTGTCTTTACATGTTTGCTGCTGCCGTTTTTCTCTGGTATCTGGCATGATGAGAATGGGCGTGGGAGGATGCCCACTGACTTTGATGTACTGTGATTATCTCATGGGTTTAACCTGTTCTACTGGGCATTTTTACCTGTGGATTTTTTATTTTTTTGGTTTTTTGAGACACGATTTCGCTGTGAAACAGTCCTGGAAACTCATTCTGTAGAGCAAGTTGGAACACAGAGATCCACCTACCTCTGCCTCCCAAGTGCTGGAATTAACAGTGTGTGCCACCATCGCCTTGCTACCTACTAATTATTATTAAGATGATTTCCTCTTAAGCTATACTGTTTAAAGTGCCCCCCCCATAAAACAGGGGCTTCAGAGAATAGAATAGAACAAGGAATGTCACACAGCTAATTTCTCTTGAGAAGCCATGTAGACTGTGGCTTAGGTTAATGATTAGGAGAAACAATTGAATCCCAGAAGTCCAGCTAGCTCAGGTTCTTTTAATCTTAATGTTGGGAGATGTGTTCACGGGTTTCAGTGTACACCATAGCTAAAACAAAGCCTTAAATAATGACTTAAGGTTAGGTTAAGAAGTTTTTGTTAATGGCTTTGAGGTAAAAAAAAAAAATCTTGGAAAACAATTTAAAGTTTAGAAAGGCACACTTTGAATAGCTGAGTGAGGAACTCGTTGAGGTCAAGAAACAAGAACAATGATAGCCTTGCTGCCCGACTACCTTTCTTGCTAGGATAGGTTGGTGATCAAGGGTACCCATTACTGCCCTCAGTTTCCTGATTTAAAAATCTGTTGATGAGTGGGGATGCACCCTGAGGTTTTACAATAGAGCTGACTAATTCTTTTTTATTTATAAAAGTTTAGATTTCTGATTCTTTTAAGATTCCTTATAATATTACCTTTTGAGATAAGTAATAAAGTGATAGATCCTTTCTTTACCACAAAATGCAGCCTGCCAGTAAAAGAACTGGCTGAGAAAAATACCTTGCTTGCTTACATTCTGTTAATCTATAACAAATTGCTTGAGTATGTATGAATGTATGTGGGTTGTTGGGGATAATTGGTTTCTCACCTGTATTACATGTTTAATCATATATAGGATAACATGTTTTTTCTTGTATTCAATGTACTCATTCACTCGAAAAATAGTTAAGCTGTAAGGGAAAAATGAAGACACAAGAGAAGGAAAACACCAAGAAAGATGTAGAAACAAAATTAGAAGGAAGACATCAAGAGAAAGAAGGGAAACACCAGGGTAGAAAAACAAAACACAAAAGGAACAGAGTAGAACCAACAGTAAGAATAATAAAACAAAGAACTAAGCTTTGGCCCTCAAAAAAGAACTCATGTGTCTTGTTTGTCTGTCCAGTAGTTTGACTGCTCTGCATCTCCTCTTCAGTTTCTCTGACCTGCTGAAGGCTTGCCATTCATCAGCACTCCAGGTGAGATCCTGACGTACGTGTGTGTGTGTGTGTGTGTGTGTGTGTGTGTGTGTGTGTGTGTGTGTGTGTGTGTGTGTGTGTGTTCATGCGGTTCCCTTTTTCGATAGTCCCAGTGAGCTAAGTTTTGCTCCCTCAGACAGAAAAGTCAAGCTGAGTGATTAGTTTGCCGACTGATGGCTTCCCCTCAAATCCTGAGCTGCTAGAGGCTGGTCCTCACAGCAGCAGTATATGTAAATAAGGAAAACATTATCACAAATAAGTTAGAAAACATTTTTATAAGCCGGGCGTTGGTGGCGCACGCCTTTAATCCTAGCACTCGGGAGGCAGAGGCAGGCGGATCTCTGTGAGTTCGAGGCCAGCCTGGTCTACAGAGTGAGTTCCAGGACAGCCTCCAAACCCACAGAGAAACCTTGTCTCGAAAAACCAAAAAAAAAAAAAAAAAAAAAAATTTATAAACAACAAAAACCTTAGCTGCATCAAACTAAGTAAATCAGACTTACTAGAAGTAAAAACATGCGCCGGGCGTTGGTGGTCCACACCTTTAATCCTAGCACTCGGGAGGCAGAGGCAGGCGGATCTCTGTGAGTTTGAGGCCAGCCTGGTCTACAAGAGCTAGTTCCAGGACAGCTTCCAAAGCCACAGAGAAACCCTGTCTCGAAAAAAACCAAAAAAAAAAAAAAAAAAAAAAAAAGTAAAAACATGAGGGTCTGCTAAGCAAAGCAACTCTTGTCTTAAAAAAAAACAATTTATGTTTAACAGAGAAGGGAACACAGTTCATTATAAGACCCTCAGAGGCACATAAAATAAACAAACAAACAAACAAACAAAAAACCCAACAAAGCACAAAATTAAATTGTGGATTTTCATTTGTGACAGAAGCCGGACTTGCTAAGCAATTAACATTTCCTTTTTTATGTACATTTGCATTTTGCCTAGATATATGTCTGTGTGAGGGTGTCAGATCCCCTGAAACTGGAGTTACAGACAATTGTAAGCTACCATGTGGGTGCTGGGGATTGAACCCAGGTCCTCTGGAAGAGCAGTCAGTGTTTTAACTGCTGAGCCTTCTCTCCAGTCTGAAATTACCTTTTCTTATGCCTAGAAGTTCCCAGCTTTACCTCTCCAGCATTCATGCTGAAGGGAACCAGGTGACCCTATGTTAAAAATATTGGTTTTTGATTATACAAACTAAGCCGTGGAGTTAGTGAAGGTTCTGGATACCCAAAGCCTTACATACTCACCTCAGCATCTATCACATCTGTAATGTACCTGGGGGTCAGCAGGGGCATCCGAACATACTGTAAGAGGTCAGGCAAGGATTCCTCTCGCTCCTTCTTGGCATGTTTCACCCAGTTGATAACGGCCTCAAAGACTGGCTCTTCAGAATCCACCTGCAAATGTACAATTGCACATCATGGATTTTTTTTCCTTTCCCAGTTAGAAAGTTTCCCATAAACTGAAAATCAACCATGCTTACTTTCTCCTTTTTGCTCCCTGTCCTCCATTACTGTTATTTCCCATCTTCCAGAAATGTGGAGATTCTGGGAAAAACAATCTTTTCAGATATAGGAAGAGAATTATGTGCAATTTAAAAAGAACTAAGACAGATAGTATTTAATAAACCATCGGTCACATATTAGCCTTCCATTATATCCATTCTTGAATTTTTATCTGGTCATTTCTGGAACTTCAGTTAACATGGGAGAGGAAATCTGTTCTCTTAATTAAAATTAAAGTACTTGTATTCATAGTTGCCTCTAATGTAGGGAATTTCACTTTTATCATAAATAATGCTATAGTTTTCAAAGCATGGTGACTCAGCATTTCATCAACTATTATGGACTAGATTCTGTGCTGTTTGTGACATATAGTTTCATGTATGTATGTATGTATGTTTGTATGAACGAACTATGGAACTTATAGATGCCAAGTAGATAAAGTAAGACACGCCCTCTAAGTCTGTATTATGTCACCAGAAAAGCAACAGAGCTAGGATTTTCCAAAGACAGACACCTATGTGCAGGCCCAGTGCTCTCTCAACAGTCTCTGGGTGAATGGAAGCTGAGGCATCTTTCACTGTTGACTAACTAGATGAAGACTGACTGACTAGATGAGAGCAAACAGAAACACCACCTGTACATGGCTCCCTACAGCCTGTGGTGATTTGGGAAGCAGACATGTTTCAGCATGTTCTTTCATTTCATGGATTTACAGAACTTCTCCTAAGTGTCAAGCACTGACCTTACAGACACTGATTATATAATAGTGAACAAATCAAGTACAGCCCTTGTAGGCCAGGCTTGACCTTCATCCTAACTGCCTGTCTCATCCTTCCAAGTGCTGGGATTATAGGTGAAGACTACCAACTATTCAGTTGTATGCTCTTGCTGTGATTAAAATTATATAGAAAAATAGCAGTTAAAAAACAAAAGTAACAGAAAATTTCATTTAGACAGATGGAAGGGATAGGATAAAAGGTTAGATTATTGAATCTACTTTAAACTAAAAAGCAATTATTGGTCAAATATTTCACAGTGATAAAGATTTTTGTATCCTGATACAAATTTAAGGTTATTTTTTGTTATACTGTGTATGTTTCTGTTCTTGTTTAAGGTATTTTACCTATGTACCTCATTTAAAAATATATAATTAAGAAATACAGGTTAGTTGTTAGTCATCTGTAATAAACTTGTAGTTATGTTTTAAGATTAAGATTAAGGTAACAGATATAGTTTAGATAGATAGGTGGTCTTCAAACACTTCAGAGACCTATATAATATAACATTTAAGATGTCTTCATTACCTAAGACTTTTCATGACAGTAAGACACATCTGCTCATGACAGCATCAATTTACTTAAAAAAAAAAAAGATACTGGGCATCAAAGAACCTCCAAATGGAGTTTGCTTTTGTTGTGGCAAAATTAGCTACTGGGCAAGAAACTGCCCTTGCCTGGACTGCTGACAGTATGCTGACTAAACTGGATGAGCAGGACACAAAACAACTTTGAACTTTTTCAGCACAACTGCTGAACTTTGCCAAGACAAGGTAGGACAGTCCTTCAAAAATCCTGCTTCACAGAAAAATCTGTCATATATTCTAGGCCTGTAGGCTGAAGATGGATTCCCCAACAATGAAGAGGAACCTTGAGTGACTATCCAGGCAGCCAGCTGCTTCTGTCATTTCTATAATTTTGGAAGTTGTTTGCCCTGCAATTCCTGTTTACTCAGGTAACATTAGATCCTTCTTGGGTCTCTGATGGAGTTGAAGACGAAATGGTTATAGTTAGTTTTCTTTGTTACCAAATTCAGAAAAGAAACTCACAAAAGAGGTAAAAGGGGCATAAGGTTGAAAGACATAAAACCTTAAATTTATCTAAAAAATGTTTCGAGATCTAAAAAGATAGTTTGGGGTTGATAATGCAAGTTAGATTAGAAAGTGAATTAGGTACTAAACTTTGGACTCACCAAGATAGGTTGGATTGGTTTTTCTGATTTTGACAAATACAAATGGACTGGACATTGTGAATGTAATTCCCACCAGGCTATGGCCTGGGCAGCCAGGCTGCTGCCAGAGAAGCAGGCTAGTAACTAAGGAGTTGCAAATGCTGGCTGAAACAGCAGTAAATTAAGGCACAACCACTGTGCCAAAGTTAAAATAATAGACCAATAAGACAGAAAAAGTCTCCTTAAAGTAGTAAGCTGAAATCTGATTAACAAGTAACAAATAGCCAGAAAGAACACAAAAAGACCACTTGAAGGGCCAGAAGTAGTAGCAATGTACACTGATAATCCCAGCACTCGGAAGGTTGAGGCAGGAGGGACGCTACATATCGAGTTCAGGGCCAGCTAGGGATATAGAATAGGATCTTATCTCAAAATCTCCCAGTACTCTAAAAAGAGTGCACCCAGAAGCTCTGGACCAGCTGTCCTGTCTGACACAGGGTGGCATTTAACTAAAATAAACAGTCAGCTTCTTAGCAGTACTAGCTACATCCCAAAGCCCAACAGCAGCACGTCCGTGGCTATCAGAGGAATTTATCCCATCTCGAAAGAATTTTCTACCAGATAGCACTGACCTAGAGCAAAAAGCACTGGTACTTGGGGACATTTTAGTTGTCTAGTCTAAGGAAGGAAGAAGGGTGATGACAGAGTTGGAGGTAAGCACCAGTCTGCTGAGGGCATCAGAAAGAGTAACTGGTATCATTTCAAGCAGGGCTGTAACAAACAGATGTTTGTAAAAACTGCTGTGGTGACCATGGGGAGAACATTCAAAAGGGCTAGGAGCTAGAAGATGAGTTCAAGTTTTCTCTGGTATAACAGGCTAGACCTCAGCTGTGGCAGTTGTGGAAGTATGTGAAAGATCAAGGCAATCCATCTTACTGACAGATGCTGGGGAGGACTCAGGACAGTCATTTTAAAAAATTGTCGTTTTGTTTAAAAACAAGTAAATTCAAATGGCAGAGAAACTGCTATATGTGCCAAAAGGTTAATGATTCATAATGGGAAAAATAAATATTCTTCATAAAGATTTTTTTCTTATGTGTCAAAGAACTGCTCCGGACAGTCCTGTGCAGTAAGTGCTAATATTTTTACATTTTGTAGAAGACGAAAACAAAGGCTAACCATTAGGTAACACATCACAAATGTTATAACTTTCACTGTAAAACCCATGCTGTTTTAGTCAGTATGATACACTACTTCCTTACGTTGTTTTTTTGCATATTGTTTTCTGAGAAGAAGTCTCTAAACCCAGATTGGCCTGGAACCAAGAACAACCTTGAACCCCTGAACTTCAGGATACCATCTTCCCACTGTCAGTTATGGAATTACAGACTAGTACCACCATGCCTGGGTCCTATTGTTTAATTTAACAAGAGGAAGTGCTATTTGGCAAGCAGAAGTCAAGACATCTGGCTCCAATTTGGGACTGGTTTACAGAACAGGAAAAAAAATCTTTTGTGGTCATTCCAGATAAAAAAGCCAAGGGCATTCTTAATACATGTGGAAGGAAAACTGTACAAGAGAATGAACAAGTTGTTTTTCATCTTGGACTAATTATGGTTAGCTATTTGCTCTGTTACATCTCATTTTATCCAGATTCTGTCCACAGGTCCAAAATGACTGATATTTGTGCTAATCTCCTGAGAAAGACAATTAGAAACAAACTGGACACCTGGTGGTGAGCTTACATCTTAGTGCAGGAAAGGCCTTGGGAATACATAACCTGATTTGGGTGATGTTGTTAAGAAAGGATCTCATGTAGCCCAGGCTAGCCTGGTACTCACTACATAGCAAAGGAAGCTTTTAAACTGATCCTCTGCCTCTACTACCTAAGTGCTGGAAATACAGGTCCAACATACCACACAGAGCTTTCAAATTTTTTTTTCTTTTCTTTTGTTGGTTTCTTGAGAAGAGTTTCTTCTGTAGTTCAGGATTGTTTTGAACTTCCCAGCTCTGTGTCCTGGACACTAGAGTTACAGGTGTGTGGCACCACATCTGGAATCCTGGCTCTACAACTTATGACGGTACAGTGGTTCGCCTGAGTCAACTGGATGATAACTGGAGACAGCTGTGAGGATTAAGTCAGGTGGAAGCACCAAGAATGATGCCATCCAAAAGAGCTGGGCCTAGGGTGGTTCCGTGGTAGAGTACTGGCTAGCCCAAGACCTACTAATTCCAAATTCCAACATGGAACACACAAAAAATAAAAGATGAGGGGGTATTGTGGAATATTTAACTATGTAAAGATATGTTCCATTTGTTTATGCTATGGAATATTACTTTAACTGCTAAGATGTATTACATTTGTTTATGCTGTATTTGTTTAATTATGATGTGTTGCTGTTTCACCTTGCACCTGATTGGTCTCATAATGAACTGAACAGCCAATAGCTAGGCAGTAGAGGGATAGGCAGGGCTGGAGGGCAAGGAGAATAAATAAGAGGAGAAATCTAAGCTTGAGAGAGGAGAGAAGAACAGAGAAGAGGGAGAAAAAGAGGAAGATGCCTGTGGCCAGCCAGTAGACACAGAGGACATACAGAAAGGAAGGTAAAAAGCACTGAGGCAAAAGGTAGATAAGGAGAAACATTAAAATAAGGGCTAAGATAAGGCTACGCACTCAAAACTAATAGTAAGTCTCCATGTCATGACTTGGGAGCTGATTGGTGGCCCCCAAAAAGAAAGCCTAGTACAGGTATGAAGGAGGGAGAAAGAGATGTACCAAGGGACAGGGATTTTCCACTGTAAGTACTCAATAAGCCTCTGACAAAATAACTAATAGTAGATGCTAAGTACTATTTATTATTAACAGTAGCAATTGCTACCTTCACTGTATTTTCTAATACACAGACAAATCCAGAAGAGTCATGCTGGGTGTTGTGGGGTACACTGTCAATCCCAGTACTTGAGAGTAAGGTAGGCAGTTCTGAGTTCAAAGCCAGCCTGGTCAATTCCAGACCAGCCAGAGCTACACAGAAAACCCTATCTATAAATAAATAAATAGAAAGAAAGAATTAATGTAAAAAGGAGAGTCATAATGTTCTAGCTAACTGCCGCACAAGGATGCAAGTGCAGCAGCATCAGAATAAGACCAGCACAGGCTTGACTCAGCAGCATCTCTAACAGAGTCTCTCTAGGCTGATATGAAAGTCAAATGGAGAATAATTCCCCTCTAGATGCAAACAATTTACCAAGATGTTCTTGTCAGGTTTGCCTTACAACTGTTGTTGAAGAAAGGTGTATACCAAAAGTTGGCTAAAATTCAATAAAAGTACACTTAGAACTTTTATTTTGTAACATAAAAATCTATTTCTAGTCAGTAAGGACAGGAACCATTTTTTACACAAAGCATAACACAGAATTTCTTTTCTCCTATGATGCTTTGCCTTTTTTCTGAGACAAAGTCTCACTGTGTTGCTAAGGCAAGCTCACCCTCCTACCGCAGCAGCCTCTTCAGTACTGGGATTACAGGTATGTAATGGCATGCTTGGATTGGCCATAGAATCTCTCTAAGTAGCAAACTCTCCTACAGCTTATAACAGCATTAAACCAATCCTGATGCTTTTTTTCTTTTTTTTTTTTAAAGATTTTATTTGCTGGGTGGTGGTGGTGGTGGTGGTGGTGGTGGTGGTGGTGGTGCACGCCTTTAATCCCAGCACTCGGGAGGCAGAGGCAGGTGGATCTCTGTGAGTTCGAGCCCAAGCCTGGTCTACCAAATGAGTTCCAGGACAGGCTCCAAAACAATACAGAGAAACCCTGTCTTGAAACCCCCCCAAAAAAAGAATTTATTTATTATGCATACTGTGTTCTGTTTCCATGTGTCCCTGCATACTAGAAGAGGGCACCAGATCTTATTACAGATGACTGTGAGCCACCATGTGGTTGCTGGGAATTGAACTCATGACCTCTGGAAGAACAGTCAGTGTTTTTAACCTCTGAGCCATCTCTCCAGCCCTCCTGATGCTTTCTAATGCGTCTCAGATATAAACTGAGGAACAGAAGCTTGGTGATATATTCCAGTGGAGAAATGAACTCAACAAGTACATATGACACAGGACTTGGCTCTCTCTGAGTACCTTTCTAGAAGCTACTACCTAAAGATCTAGTCCACTGGAGATTAATACTAAAGGCTTCAAAGACATCTATTAGACCTCTTTGGATTCTTCATCCCATTTTCAGCCTAACTATACCTATAGACAACAAACAGTACTACACAGCCAGTGGGTAATAGTATTGCATAGATATATACCTAATTTCTAATTTCTGCTGATTTTTTTTCCTTTTTTTGGTTTTCAAGACAGGTTTCTTTGTAGGTTTAGAGACTGTCCTGGAACTCTCTTTGAAGACTAGGCTGGCCTCGAACTCACAAAGATCCACCTGCCTCTTCCTCCCAAGTGCTGAGATTAAAGGCGTGCACCACTACCACCAGGCTCAATTTCTGCTGATTTAATTGTTTACTGCTGGAATAAATGTTTGATAAAGAAAAGGGGAAGATCTTTTTCCCCCATAAATGTGCAAATAAATTAAAACCTTTGGCACCAATCTGGGTATTTGATTATGAAGTCATAATATGGACACATCCACTCCATCCTGCCCTGTAATTTTTATAATGGTTCAGTTTTAACGAAACCATAACACCAAGCCAAAGCTGTACCTGAATTTCATCGCACTTGATTAGCTTTTCCACCTCTCCTTGACTCAGAAGAATGAACTCTTCATGCTGTACCACTTCAGGAAAATGCTTCTGGCTAAAAACCTCAGCTGCTTGCATCAGGTCAACGCAATTGTGAGTTTCAGCAAAATCCCTGATACCCAGGCAATTAGAAGGGTCCAACTGACTTTCTAAGAACTCACAGCAGGCTTGTTTCACACCTAGGACAAACACAGGCAGTGAGCAGACTTTAGGATATGTGGCCAAGTGTGAAGCCTTCTCTACATGTTATCAGAACACTGGCTCCATACCTCAACACATAAGTTAGAAAATGTATGGTCAAGGCATTCAAACATTTCTGTCTTATGTACTATGTCACTTCTAAAAACCCTTTATTATCTGCTCTGCTTCACCTTTAAAATGAGTATAGCAAATCCTACCTAGTTTCAAGGACATTCGCACCATCAGAAGCTGTAAACTCTTAACTACCAAAACCAATCTAAAAGCAGTAACTAATTTACAATGTTCTTATTTTCTACTCTCTACATAACGATTTTTTGTTTTGTTTTAAGATTTATTGATTTTCATTTTATGTGTGTAAGTATTAAGTCTGCATGTATGTAAATGCATCATGGCATGCAGTACCCAAGGAGGTCATACTTGTCAGATTCCTTAGAACTGGACCTAAAGGCAATTGTGAGTCACCATGAGAGTGCTGGAAATCGGCCCAGTGTCTCTGGGAGACAAGTGTTCTTAACTACTGAGTCATCTCTCTAGTCCCTATATCAAATTTATTTTAAAACTCCTGTGAGGTTGGGTATGGTGGCACAAACTTTGGGAGGCAGAGGCAGACAGATCTCTAGCGAGTCTGAAGCCAGCCTGGTCTACAAAGCATGTTCCAAGACAGGCGGGGGTGTTACATTAGAGAAACCCCGTCTCAAAAAACAAACAAGCCCTCCAGTGAAGGAAAACAATGCCCTAATTCTCTAACTGGGAAATTCAGAACAGAAGCTTGGGATGTGGCTTAACAGAACGCACAAGGCCCTGCCTCAATCCTTGGCACTAGAAAAAAGAAAAAGTACAGTGCATGAACTCAGTTCATTTTTTGTTGTTGTTGTTGTTGTTTTTTTTTTTTGTTTTTTTTTTTGAGGCAGGGTCTTACTCTGTAACCCTGGCTGACCTGAAGCTCATGATGCAGACCAGACTGGACTCAAACTTAACAAATACTTTTCTGCATCTCTCTCCCTCCCCCCCCACCAGTGCTAAGATTAAAGGTGTGTGCCACAACATCTTGCATAAACTTAATTCTTAATTTTGTAACACTTTACTTCAATCTTATATTACAAGTGGAGAATGTAGACCGGATATAATGGTTTGTTCCTGTAATCCCAGCATTCAGAAGGCTATAAAAGATCATAAATTCAAGGACAGCTTGGACTACACAGTGAGACTTGATTAAAACAAAACAAGTAACAGCAAGAATGTTTCATTTATGTAGATATACATAAATGGAGGTTAAAACAAACAGACTGGGAGCTGGACAGATGGCTCAGAGGTTAAGAGCACTGACTGCTCTTCCAGAGGTCCTGAGTTCAATTACCAGCAACCACATGGTGGCTCACAACCACCTACAATTCAGTCTGGTGCCCTCTTCTGGCACGTAGGCAGAACACTGTACATGTAATAAATAAACAAATA